ATGTATATTGTGCTCCTGCTTAAAAGAGAAAATAAAAGACTGTAGTTATAAAGGACAGGTGCCTAGAGCTGCCTATACATACCTACAGCAGTGTCCAAAGCCCTGCAGCTACTTCAGAATCCCCGGCTGTCCTGACAGGCCAAGAACTTCCTGATAGAGCTAAGGTTCGCCTGCATTTTCTTGCTTCCTGCACATTCCTATTGAATAGTGAGGCAGCCTGCCATATTGATAGGCCAATTGGTATGTGGAGCTGGGGGTGAAAGGTGGCAAGAAGCTCCAACAATACCCATAAGAGCTAAAGATTTCTCATTCAGAACAGCCTCCACCTTGGTCATAGCAGCAATGTTTTGGAGGCTGCTGGAAATATGTACAAACATTTTATTAACTTACATAGTCTATTTAAAGCATACCTATAGCCCAAACAGTTTTTTTTATTATTATTGTTTTTAGTTTTGGATAGAGTATGGAGAAATGAAAACCCAGCACCTTAGTTGGTTTTCTGACTGTGTTTCTGATTGTGTCTTGTTGCAGAGATTTTTCTTCCCTTCCTGTCCCAGAGACACAACAGGAATTGAAACAAAATCTTCCCAAAGTTTCAGGATTTACCTTTGCTTCCTCTTTCCAGCACATCCAAAACATTTTAGATTTTCCATTACATTTTGGTCTGCTGACTATTGTCACTAGGACATATAGAGAGGGTCTACCATAGGAGACACATAAAGCAATAGAAACCCAATGGAGGTTTTTTCTATCCCTTCACTTCTCTATTCAAGTACAATAAAAATTTTAACTGGAAATACACTTTAAGAATCTTTTCGTTATCTTTTTCTTCTTTTGAGTACTTTGAGTGCTGCTTTGGCTGTTTTTGAACTAACCTTGGTCTGTTTTTTTCAGAAATGATAAATGGCACACCAGTGTGGTGACTTTCATTGGTAGTCCATAGTGCAGGCAGTGGTGGTGGTGCAGGGGAGGGCAATGGATAACATAGTGCAACGGAGGAACGGAGTGTAAATAATTTTAGCCTCACCATTCTTGCAGCCAGATAGTAAGAGTAGGCGGATAACACATTTATGTGCTTTAGTTGATAAAACGTTTGGCAGATAAATCAGTTTCTATCTATGACTTTCAACTGTGTATTCGACTGCTTATCCGGAGCTGCCCTTTAAGGCAAACATTTTAGGGAACAAAAATGATCTGGCTTTAAATCAAAGTGTAATACTACACCTCATGTCATCTTCTGGAGCAATACAACTATTTGCTCAGGGATGAATGGTTGTCAGAACTGTACAATTCCACATGAAACTACACTGCTGTCTTTTAAACATCCAGCAAATAATTTATTACTGACAACATGTTAATAATAGATGTTTCAAACCTTACTTGTTTTGCTTTTCAGGGTTATTATTTTTAACTCACAAATTCAGCTGCCGAATGTGCCTCTTGCCACTGCTAGAAGTAGATGTTGATACAAGCAAATGACACATAAAAGATTTATAAAACGTTTTTTGTATTATGCGTTTTTTTGCACAGAATGTAAGGCCCATGGTGTACTAAACCAATGTCTGTAGTATCTTATTAGTGGCTTATACTGGTATTTTGAGCTGTGGACTGTGGGTAGCCAGTGCAGGAGTAGGTGTGTGAACTGAGATTTGAACATAACTCCCATACTGAAGACACTGTTATAGACAACAATTAAAAAGAAATACATACAGTAATAGAACAGAACTACTAGTAGATATGATTTACACACCGTGGGGCCTTACAATGTTGGGTCTTAAAGAACAACTCTGGGCAGAATAAAAATTAACACTTGCAGTGGGGCTGCCCTGGCCCTGCAAAGCGTTTAAGTCTAGGGTCTAAAATAAAGACGACCCTCAGTGTTGCCTGGCTGCTAGGTCAGTCATCTCGGCCTCTCCTTTGCCGCGTTACAGCGGTCTAAGGACCCATGAGTCATCACATCTAATATAGTGTATTAGATATAAGGACGTTGAGGGACATTTCGCCGCCAGTACAGAGGGGGAGAGAGGTGAGCGGTTACTATTGCAGGATTAAGGCTCGGGTGAGAATATATTCTTTATTCTGTCCCCTAGAGAAAATGAGCAGTTAACCCTTGCAGTATGGGGGGTAGCCCCACTGCAAGTGTTCATTTTTAATCTGCCTAGAGTTCTTCTGCCTAGAGTGTATGTAAAGCCCAAACTTTTTCTTTAGTTTTAGATAGAGCATGGAATGGTTATGACCCATGTCAGTTTTTCTTCTTTGTTGTCTTCTGGCCCACTGCATAGATTTTCCTTCACTTCCTATCTCGGAAACAGAGTTTTAGCTCAAATAACTGAGATCTGGCAAATAATTGGATGTAACTGTGGTGATGGCATTCTTGCCCTCTGACCTCATGGGCTCAAGAGCAGTTGGAGCAGTTACATATACATGAACATGAAATGTATACAGGCCATACATTTAATGAGTTGTTTAATATAAAACATTTGATGAGAGTATAATCTCTCTTTTTTTTTAAGATTGTTTTTATTAGAATTTAATTTTGGGGGAAAAACAAGCTCCCAAGCATACAAGCGTGAGAAAAACAGCTCCAGTAATCAATCAGAAGGTTCAGGTATTTTAATATTTGTCAACAAGAAATCATAAATGTAAAAAGTTTTCAATTTTAAAATGTAAGTCTATAACAATGAGACAACATACACTAACTCTAACTCTCATACTTACCTATGTAGACTCCACCAACTTTTCATTGAGTAGCCTACATGGTGCAACAAATCCCCTTAAAATGTCTTCACCGTTGAGTCCTTCGATCATTACCGTTGTCCATTTCCACACATTCATTCCCGTTGTCCATCTCCTCACATTCATTCCCGTTGTCCATCTTCTCACGTTCATTCCCGTTGTCCATTTTCTCATGTTAACTCCTGTTGTCCATCTTCTCACATCCATTCCCGTTGTCCATCTCCTCACGTTCATTCTCGTTGTCCATCTCCCCACGTTCATTCCCGTTGTCCATCTCCCCACGTTCATTCCCGTTGTCCATCTCCCCACGTTCATTCACGTTGTCCATCTCCCCACGTTCATTCCCGTTGTCCATCTCCCCACGTTCATTCTCATTGTCCATCTCCTCCCATTGTCCATTCAATCCTATGGACAGTTTGTACTGCTCTTGTTTTGCCCGGAACACAAAAACTCTGTAGGAATGAATTGAGGTTGCACAACACATTCTCAGGAGTCATAAAACCATGACAATTTAGAAGAAAAGGGTTAAAAAGCATAAGCTGCACAGCCAAGTATTGGTGGAGTGGAAACAGGTAAATATGAGGCTTGTCGGGTTAATGATGGAGTGCATCAAAGTTCAATAGGTGTAACTCCACTAAACTTGGAGGTCATCCTCAAAGGTTAAAGGTTAGAAACAATTTTTTTTTTAAATGATATTGTGGTCCAAAGCCCAGCAATTTGAGAGCCTCAGAAAAACGTGAACAAATGAAGATACTTGAATGATTAGCATGATACACATTACAAACTCGTAACTACTAGCCCCCCCCAAACACACACACACCACACACACACACACACATACCTTTAGACCATAAAATACAGCAACTCTCAAATGCAGCACACCTTGATGCTATGATAGAGCTCTCTATCCAACTGATATCATCATACCAGAATATGTTCTCTAGGTATCTTGGCTTTAAATTCCACCACAACCAAATACTTTTATAATTACTAATTATTATTATTATTATTATTATTATTATTATTATACAGTATTTTCTGGTTCTACTTTCAGTACTACCTCATTTCCATTAGCAACTGTAGTCACACACTTTGACTCTATATGCCCCCTGTAGCAGGAATGTTGTGCATTCAACAAAATTTCACTGTACTTTGCCTCACTCCAAAAAAACTTTTAGACACACAGATCTCTCGTTAGTCATGTCAAATGGTCATTTGATATAATGTGTGAGAAGTTTCTCATGTAAAATTAGGTGAACTGTATAGTGCATACAAATCTCTACACAGTGTGAATGAATGTGACACCACCTGGTCTCTCAAATCCTTTGAACAAGTTGAGACAGCAGTCTACATGCTCATCATCAAGATTACTTTTTCACGTGCATTCACTAGAACTTCCTTCTGTTATTTAAGCCATGAAAATCCTTCACTGTTTTAGTTCTAACCAAACTTGCAGATCTGGTTGGCACAAGAGCATCCATTTTGTGTTAACTGCCTATGGTGCCATACAGCACTGACCCGAGTTCAAAGAGTGTGTGTTTGAACTTGATACAGTAAATGAGTCTTTTTTTAAAGGTAACTGCTAAGTATTTACTATTATACTGGTACTACTGGTGATGCATGAATGGTACTGATAATGTGTGCATGCTTTGTAAGAATTTACTATTATGTACTGTATATTTTACAGAAGAGTGGGGTGTACCCAACACAAGGTGCTATACATATGTATTTATACATATGGATCCAACCCTAACTGGATGATATTTAGCTTGCTAAAGTGCATCCTAAACAATTGCCTTTTTTTAAATAAAAAACTTTCATGCCACATCAGTGTTGCCGCTCTCCTCCAACCTTTTCCTGTCTATATGCACTCCCTCCAGTGTCAGCTGCACATATTGCTCTGGACCCGATTCCTGATAGTGACAATGGTGGTCCATGCCTGCGCAATGTGTGTTGGCGCAGTTGCTTGTAGGTGCATGTAATGCGGTGACATTACAGAATCACAATTTGGAAACAGTTGTCAACCCATAACAGGAAGTGCCTGAACAATGACCTTCATGGCAGGAACACCAGGGATTATTTATTAAAAGCTTAAAATTCAAAAATTCAAAATGACTTTTGA